CCCACCCCAAAATGTAGTGCCGTGAACATGCAGAGGATTCTATGCAGATTCTAGACTTTGAGACACACTGAGCAGAAAATCTTTTCTTTAGCAGACTGTTGACCTTGCTGAGGATCAGGGTATTGGGAACTCAAGAAGTATAGACTATACTACAGACATTCTTTTTAAGAAGTTTGGTAAAGGAAGACAAGAAATTGAACAATGACTAATGGTGGATATAAGAGAGAAGGACAATATTACATACTTCTTTTTTTTAGTTTTAAAGAATGGAAATGTTTAAGTGTATATGCTGAAATGAAAGGACCAATAGTTAGAGAGAGATTGAAGATAATGAAAGAATGAAAGATGACTAATGAGGCTAAGTCCCAGAGATGACAAGAAGGTTTAAGATCCTTGATGTACCCCCAATGGATGACCCCCAATGGATGACCAGCCAGCTTTGCAGAGGAGGAAGGTAATTTATCGTTCAAGTCAGAATGTTATAGAACCAAAATGGAGTTTGGCTGCCTGCCACCACCAACCAGCAAACTCTAGAGGCAGAGGCTGGTGAGGAAGGGAAGAGGTTTTTTATTCAGATGCTGCATGATCTGGGAGAAGGGAAGCCAACCCCTCCAGAAAACCTAGGGAAAGTGCAGTCATACTCAGCCAGACCAAAACAGAAGGCAGTGTCCAGAGTTCCTGTTCCCATTTAACATTATCATCCTTTGGGAACCACAGGCAGCTGCGAAGTGGTCATCCAGGTAGCTTAGCTCGTTCCTGGCTGCTGTCTACTTCAGGTTTCTTCCTAGAAACTGCATGTGGGGCCGGTGCTGCCATTAGCCACACAGCCTCTAGGGCCACAAGGTCCTGCTAATACAATGGCCAGTGCATTCACCAGGCGGACAAGAGAGCGCCCCTCCCTTCCCCTGGGTTTATACTAGTTTTGGGTCTAGGACAGACCAGGTGCTCTCAGAATGCTCAATTAACTTCTCAACTTCCACACACTCCAGGTGGGTTCACCTCCTGACCAATCCTTCCTTTTCCCAGGAATCTTTGGTCCAGTATGGCCCCCTGCCACCATTCTGTCCTCTATGGCACGTGTGCCTGCCTTCCCCCAGCGCACCCCCAATCAGGTACCAGAATGGTATAGGTGGGCTTCTCTCCTTCCCAGTTATGTAGCTAGCCTTGTGTGTGCTCAGTGTAATACTTCCTTCTGCCACCATCTTGTCCAGGAGCAGGGGAGATTCTGTGGCTCTTTGTTAACTCCACACCCCCCATGCTGTAGTTCCCACATGTAGTGAGCTGTTCCTGCTCAGAGCCCACTGACAGAGTAAAGGGACCCTGGAAACCCTACCCGGACTCTCAGGCAGTGCCAAGGACAGCCCTACTGGGAGGGGTGGGGCATCCAAGCAGGACCTCAGTACCAGTGGTGGCATGTGCCCTGACTGGAAATGGAACTGAGCAACTACAAGGCGTGAGCAACACAGCCTCATGGTCATTCGGAAATCCTGTGAAACTCAATGTCCTTGTCACAGCCCCAGGCAGCTTGTGAAGGGATTGTCTGGCTGCACACCATGCCATCAGTGCCCTGGGGAACATGGCTTCATGCAGAAGTGGCTGCGGTTCCATCTCCAGGTGGCTCCTCCTTTCTGCTCACAGCAGCCCAGACAGGCTGCATGGGCATCAGGAAGCCGATCTTAACAATAACCTTTGAGATAAGAGGAAATAGCTGGGTGGTGTTATCTAAGTTTATATATAACAGTTTTGCTTGGTAGTTTGGTCTTACTTAAGTGTCAAAATAGGAAAATAGGATTTAGAGAGAAAGTGTATACCAAGTAAAGCTCTAGCTGTCAGAGCTCAAATGGCCTCTAGTCAGATTGTAATTTATTTGAGGCCAGTGACCCAACAAGCTTAGTACATAATGCCTTGCAAAGCATTAGACAATATTGAATGGATTTAGTACATTGTTTTAAATATTTACTTTGCATTATGTAGAAGTTATGTGTATATAGTATGATATAAATGTGCATTCTCATTCCAGAAAATTCAGAAAATACAAACAAGCAGAAAGGGGGAAAAAGTCAATCATAGTCCTACCACAGAAAGTTAACCACTTTTAAGACTTGGGTGCTGCGTTAACTAACCTCCAAGATGATCCCCAATAATCCTTTCCTCCCACTATTCACACCCTCTGTAGCCCCCTACTGTTACTGAACAGGAGTCCAAGGGGGGCAATATTTGGCCCACCAAGGGATGCAAAAAACTGCTACAGGACAACAGGGGCTCCTCCCAAGGACAATATACTAATACCTACTGGGTTCATCTGTCCGCCGCCAATTGGAAAGAAATCTCTCAACACTGGAGATTTGTGAAAAGGAAACGAAATGTTTATTTAATGCTATTCAGACCTAACACTTCCATTAAAATATCAAAGTCCTTTAGGGTATACACCTACACACACAGCGCTCCCTTCTCCCACTGTCCCAACTCTGGGTACCGTAAATCAGGAAAAGAGCACACGTCCGTGTTGCAGGCCGCTGGCACCGTCAGCTGTGTTGACAGTCCAGGCAGGATCTCCAGTTAATCCAAAGTCCTGTGGCACCCTCTCACAGTCCACTGGCAAGAGTTCTTTGTACCAAGTTCCAGTCAAAGTCTCTCCTGCTTTCCAGGCCACGTGGCCAAACGGGGCCCCCAAAGTCGCCTGGGCCTCTTCTACCAAAGCTGCAGGGGTCCGCACTCCACCAAAAGCATGTGTCTTTCTTCTTCACCTGGCTGCAGGGATCTCCATTCTGGCAAAGCTGTGTGGTTTTCCCCTTCACCTGGGAAAGAGGGGGTCTGCACTCTGCCAAAACCACATGGCTCTCTCTTCACCTGGCTAAGAGGGGACCCTTACTTTACTGAAACCATGTGGCTCTCCCTCAATGGCTGCCGTGTCTGGGTTTAAATCCCCACACCAATCTTCCTCGGTACCCCTATTTCCAACTCCTCCCATGATCAGTTACACCTGCCAGTATTTCTGTATTATTCCAAGTTTACTGGGCTGCCATCATTAGTCTGGGCAGGTATGGCCCCATGTCCTGGAGCCAATCTTCTCCAAGCTTCCACACAGGCACTATAACTTGGGGGACCTGTCCCCAGTTACATCTTGGGGAAGTGACTTCATTCCCCTGGCTCCAAGCCTGGCCACAGCCATTTAACATATCCAAGTGACCCGCCAAAGGCTGTAGATATGTTCAATGACCATGCCATGGATTGGCTGCAAGGCTGTGGCTGTACAAAACAGCCCTGCATGTTCCTATTCCGTGTGTCCCTTCCAACTCACACCTGTGGGGGAAGAGGCGAGGACATCTTATATGTCTCTCCAATATTCCTATACACTTTGAGTTCTGGACACCATTCCAAATCTTTTTTGAGTGCCCCCCCCCCCGGCTGTACCCTGTATCACTACCACCAGGATCCAGGGCTGGCCCTGAATGACCAATAGAATATGGTGAAATGGCAATATGTAACTACACAGACTTGGTCGCAAAGACATTGCAGCTGCCACCTATCACCAGGGTTTTTTAACTGCAGCACTACTAGAACTTTAGACCAAATAATTCTCAGTTGCGGGCTGTTCTCTGCACTGGAAGATATTTAGCAGCATCCCTGGCCTCTACCCATTACTGCCAGTACCATCTCCTGCTCAAATATAAAAATAAAAAATGCCTCCAAAAATTACTAAATTTCTTTGGTCTGAGGCATCCAAACTGTTCCCAGCAGAGTACCCATCACCCTAGACTCTTGACTTGCTAGCTGTGTGGGAAGCTAACCACTAAGCCATGTGACACACTGAGTGTGACAACAGCTCTGTGGGGAGGAGCAGGTGGGGAGAAAATGACCACCCTCCTACCCCGGCCAACGGCCACACCAGCTTTCCATGACTTGTGAGGGAGCCACGTGCAGAGTGGATCAAGCCACCAGATGACTATGGATCTGGCCAAAAACTGATGACGGACTTCATGGGAGCCAGAACCGCCCAGGCTGGCCACTCCCAAATTGTACATCCATGGAAACCATAAAAAGTGATAAATAATAATGTTTTAAAACCCACAATGTTTAGAGGTGAATCACTTAGTTGATTTCTTTGTTTAGTAATTATTCTTGATGCCTGAATACTGAGTACATTTGGAGTAGACATACAAATCCTTTTTCTTTCCTGAAGAAGAGTCCAGGTCAAAGAGCAAAAAATGAAGATCAGCTTGATTGTTTACTTACTGCATGAAATTACCTTGTGAAATTAAGTCATTCATAATATTTTCATTAGTGGAGAGAAAACATATTAAAACACTAGCTCGAGGTATAGTGTGGAATTAATTCCTGAGGTGGAATTAGATGCTGGCTCAGCTGTCAGGTTCTAAGCTTCTGTTTCCAAAGCAATGAGATTATAAGCTTTAAGAATTTGCTATTTTTTACCAGGCCTGTGGAAGAAGCAATAATGTAGTTTAAAGGATTTCAGTTTCTTGCTCAGTGATAGGTCACATACAAAGTAAATGGAAGAGTAATAGCACCCCAGGAAATTATGCTAATTCAACCTAATTATATTTGGGTCTAAATTACCTCTTTGGGTTTAAGGAAAATGTGAATATCATTTACCTTTTACAAAACCAAATCTAGATTTTTTTTTTCTAAATAGGCGTGAGTGCCCTGCTCCTACAGTGAGGCACTCATCAAAGTGGGAAATCGAATGTGTAAGTCTCTAGAGCAACGAATCTGAGGTCCCTGCTCTTGCTGGTCCTACTGCTCTGATAGTAAACTATAGAGACAATTGTTTTGTTTTGTTTTCTTTCGATTTGAGATTTTGGAAAGATAACTTTGGGGTTTTGTTTTTGTTATTGTGTATTTTCAATAATATTATCATTTGACAATGGATTAAATTATCTTCCTTTGTTGTTTGCAATGGGTTGAAAGTGTTATTCAGCTGTGGTCTTTAATACCATCAACAAAAATGTATTATTGCATTTTTCCTCTTTTTTATCCAGTTCCTGGTGCTTTGGGAGCCACAGGCTTGGATCGGGGCAGCAGAGCTAGGCCCAGCCCTGTGAGTCCCAGCCCCAATCTCCACTGTCGTCCTACAGATGCAGGTATGCCACAACCAGTCCCCAAAGTGGCACAGAAGTGGCATCAAGAAACCTCAGTATAAAGGACCCAGGGACCCAGCCAAATCGGGGTAGTATGGAAAGTGGGAGGTAGGAGGTGGGAGGTGGGGAGGTGTAAAGTGGTGGTGGGAAAATACAGGCAACTGTACTTGAACAACAATGGAAAAATAAATAAATAAATACAAAATTTTTTAAAGAAGGAATTTGATTAAAAACTAAATATTTAAAGTAAAATGGAGCATTCTAATTAGAGTCTGAGGATGAGACCAAGCTTTAGTTCAACAATAGTTGATTAAGTGATTATTTTGAAACACAATAAATTATATATTTAAAAAATAAAAATAATATAGGAAATGGAGAAGCCAAAGAACTTATATGCATGATCCATGGATGTGAACTAAGAGCAGGTAGTGCTGGAGGGAAAGGGGGTACTGGGTGAAGGAGGGCAAAGGGGGAAAAATTGAGACAACTGTAATGGCATAGTCAATAAAATATACTTAGACTTCCACCAAGATGGAGGTATAGGTGGATGTGCCGTGCCTTCTCACACAACCAAGTTTAGGGACAACTAAATATTAGCATCAGAAAACACAACCAGAACACGGAAAATTGAACTTTTCGGAAGTCCGTTAACAACAAATTCTTCAGCCCTACCGGTAAGGGGCGAAACCGGCGACTGGTGAGGGGTTGCACAGGAGGACTCCGGTCGGACGGACCCAGGCATGGAATCCAGATGCGAGAATCCAGACGCACGGGTTCCAAAACGCAGGATTGGACCTAGTGAGCAACCGAGCAACCCACCAGGTGAGCGACTGCAGAGGAGACAGTGGGGAGGCGGTGCTGCGTGTTGACTGCGGTCGCCTATCTGCGAGCCAGCGGACAGGCGAGGGAGTGGGCAGTTGGACCGGCCGCGGTGGTTGAGGGCGCCGCCATTTCCCCGCTCTGACCACGCCTCCACATACAGCGTCACAACCCAGCGACCTGGGAGTCCAAGGCGCCGCTTCTCCCGCTTAAAGGGCCAGAACAGACCAAAAATGTCGCAGGAAGACCTCAAAGCCCCAGAGATAAATCTAAGCGACGAAGAAATAGCAAAACTCTCAGACGCACAGTTTAAAACACTGGTCATCAGGATCCTCACAGAACTGGTTGATTATAGCCACAAATCAGAGAAACATATGAAGGCTAAACTAATGGAAATGAATGGAATTCCACAGGAAACCCATAGCGATGAAAAGGAAATTGGGGCTCAAATCAATGGAGTGGACCAGAAGAAAGCAAATAATGGCCAAACAGAAAAGAGTCAAGGAGCAAGAATTCAAAGAAATGAGGAGAGTCTTAGGAACCTCCAGGACATCTTTAAACGCTCCAACATCCGAATTATAGGGGTACCAGAAGGGGGAAAGGCACAGCTACCAGTGGAAAACTTATTTGAACAAATAATAAAAGAAAATTTCCCCAATCTGGCAAAGGAAATAGACTTCCAGGAAATCCAGGAAGCTCAGAGAGTACCAAAGAAGTTGGACCCAAGAAGGAACACACCAAGGCACATCATCATTACATTAGCCAAGATTCAAATGAAGGAGAGAATCCTAGAAGCAGCAAGAGCTAAGGGGACAGTCACCTACAAAGGAGTCCCCATCAGACTGTCAGCCGATTTCTCAAAAGAGACCTTCCAGGCAAGAAGGGGCTGGAAAGAAATATTCCAAGTCATGAAATCCAAAGACCTACAACCAAGATTGCTCTATCCAGCAAAACTTTCATTTAGAATGGAAGGACAGATAAAGTGCTTCTCAGATAAGATCAAATTCAAGGAGTTCATCATCACCAAGCCCTTATTATATGAAATGTTAAAGGGACTTATCTAAGAAAAAGAAGTTAAAGAAACATGAACAGTGAAAGGACAACAAACTCACAGTTATTAACAACTACACCTAAAACAAAAGCAAACTAAAAGGACAGCTAGATCAGGAGTGGAAACATAGAAATGAAGATCTCAAGGAGGGTTAGCAACAGGGGAGTGGGAGGAGGAGAAGGGGGGGAGAAGGTACAGAAAATAAGTAGCATAGACAGTAGATAGAAAATAGATGGGGGGGGGGCAAGAATAGCATGGGAAATATAGAACCTAAAGGACTTGAGACACATGGACATAAACTAAAGGGGGGTAATGGTGGGGAGGGGGGCAGGGTGGAGGGGAATGAAGGGGGGAATAGAACAACTGTAACAGCATAATCAATTAAAAAATAAATTTTAAAAAGGGAAAAAAATAAAATATACTTAAAAATAAAAAATAAAATGAAGCAAATGAATGTTAGAAAAAAGCCAACTTGTGAAAAATAAATTTAGCGACTCAAAATGTATTAAAAAAACTGCATACCTAAAAAAAGAAAAAAGAAACCCCAATATTATGAATAAAGGCTTTTGGGTAGATATGGTGGTTATCAGAAGGAAGAGAGGTTGGGAGAATAAAGGGTAAAGGGAGCCAATATATGGTGACAGAGGATGATTTGACTTTGGGTGGTGGGCACACAGTGCAATATACAAATCATGTGTTGTAGAAATGTACACTCGAAACTTATATGACCCTATTAACCAGTGTCATCCCAATACATTTAATAATATAAAATAATAATTTTTAAAAATCACAAAAATACAAATCTCTTAAGAGAGTGGACCCCCAGTTCCTAAGGAACATGCACTTTGCCAAGAAGCACAACAAGAAGTGCCTGAAGAAGATGCAGACCAACAACACCAAGGCCATCTGCGCATGGGCTGGGGCTGTCAAGGCCCCTGTAAAACCCAAGGGGGTCAAACTCAAGATCCCAAAGGGTGGCAGCCACAAGCTCAGTTGACTTGCCTGCATCTCTCACACAAGCCTGAGAAACGTGTTCATACCCACAGTGCCAAGGGTGTCAGGCTCTGTTGGCCAAAGGCCAAGGCCAAGACTCAAACCAAGGCCCATGCTGCAGCTGGAACTCCAGCTCTGGCTCAGGCTCCCAAAGGTGTCCAGACCCCAATACAGACTCCAGAGTAGAGGCCTCTGTCTACCAACATGAGGACGGAAGGACTGGTATGACCCCAGGGGTGCTGTCTGTGTGGGGTTGGTGTCCTCCTGTGCTATTTGTACAAATAAACCTGAGGCAAGAAGAAAAATAAAGCTACTATTCCCTTTTTCACTATTGTCCATAAATATGCATTATTCCAATTTTGACTAAGGTCAAACAAGTACATATGTTCTTCCATTAGCAAACTACTAGTGATAACTAAATCCAGTTACCCAGTAGAAATGTAAATGTCATTCAGGGGTCATTCTGCAAATTTATTATTGGGGAGGAAATTGGAAACTAAGGAGCAAAGAAGTACAGATTCTATTTCTTTATTTTGGTTTTAAAGTTCTACAGACCAACAGATCATGAAGTATTTATTTGAGAAAAAATGACAGAAAGGAAACAAAGGGGAATAAAACCTTGTAGACCCTAGAATAAGCCAGGCACTCTGCCAGACTCCTTGTTTGCGTTTTCTCATTTAGCTTTCACCAAGGAAGTAAGTACCATTCTCTCCAATTGCAGGTGAGGAAACCGAGGTATTCATAGCTTTAGCAACTTCAAATTTCTAAGTGGTTGAAGCAGGATTTGACCCTAGGCCTACCTTATTACTAACCACTATGTTAAAACATATAGACAACACTTCTCTTAATATTTATTAAAGTTTTTAACTGCAGACAACATAAAATAACTCTGAAAAAGACGAGAGACAGCAAATATTGGCAATGATGTGGAGAAAAGGGAACCCTTGTACACTGTTGGTGGGATGATATGAATGTGGCTCATAGGATGGGTAGAAGGAATTAGGGAGCCAACCGAAACAAGGGATCTCTGAAACCCTATGACATGGCAACAGTCTCCCTGCAAAGGCCAGTAGCCAGGCCTGCTGCCTGTTTCCGAGAATGAGCCGGCCCTCTCTCCCTGTCTCCAGTCAGGTGATGAGCCAGCCCTCTCTCCCTGTCTCCAGTCAGGTGATGAGCCAGCCCTCTCTCCCTGTCTCCAGTCAGGTGTCAGAGTCCCAGAGAGCACTTGTGATTGGCCAAGCTTAGGGCTCATGCTCCCCTCTGTGCATACGTCCCAACAGGAAGAAAGATGATCCAACCCTTTCAGCTTCTATAGTGAAAGACTTCCAAACTTACCGTCCACCAAGTCCTCCTATGGTAGGTAGGGTACAAGTGGAGTCATGGGTGCCAGATAGGTAAGCATGTCGAATGTCCACCAAGCTCTTAAAACCTCAATGTCTTTTCTTATGAAAGTACTGTGGAGTTACAATGTAAATGTGACAAATCTACCAGGGACCAATGAGTCTTCCTGGTCGGAATGTACAGTCTGTGAGGGCAGGGACTGCATCTGTCATGGTGTCCCCCTGAGTCCGGCACCTGATGAGTGTGTTGAGGGACATTCGATGAACCAGTGAATTTTGCTCGCTGTTTCTCCCAGTACTCCCAGGCATCACATTTACAGTTCTGGACAAAATCAGATAAACTCAACAGTCTTTACATACTTAAAGTATTACATCCAAAACTCCCTCATTCTCTCAGGCAGTATTAGGACCAAACACCATTCAGTGCATAAGTAGTAAAGCTCAGGATCAACTTTATGGGGTATACTTTCCTTCAAATATTTCACAAATCATGTTTTTAAAATTTTGTTTAAAGATAATGTATCATCAAGACTAAGTAATTTTTTAAAACACTGAGTGAATATCCTTACCATTTTGTGTATCATCTTAAACTTTCTCCAAATAGAAATATTCAACCTAGTTATAATCACAATGTACATATCTTTAGTGTATTGTTTTTATAGAAAATATTATACTGTTTTATGTTTCAAAATAAACGATGTAATTATACTTTGAACAGCAACAGAACATTCCATGATCTTGACGTACCATAATTTATTAAGCCATTTCCTTATTGTTGGACATCTGCTTTGTATGAATTAGACCTTTAACAAGGTACAACTTCTGAGAAGATCTAGAATATTGTCTACAGCGGGCTTGTGAAAGTGATTCTGGTGTGAGAGTACATCAGAATGCAT